CTATTGGCCAACATGGGACTATTGGTCAACATGGCTGAGGCTTCTGGGAGCTGGTCCCTCGGCTCTTAAAGGGGAAAGGTTGCCTACCCCGGACTTATGGCGACCCTATGAATTTCCGATGGGAAGAAAATACACTCCTTTGAGATGTGGTGCTGGAGAAAATTCCTCAGGATACTGTGGATGACTAAGAAGACAAATAGTTTCTTCCAACTCTATGATTCTATAAGACTCCTGGTCTCCTTTAGAGCCCCAAGTGACCTCCCTGGTTTGCCACAGATTGGGGGAAGAATTTAAGGAACCATCACTCACAGAAACCCCCATATCCAGCCAATATGGCCACTGCCTGGGGGATTCTGGGAGCTGTAGCCCTCAAAATATAAATTTTCTGAGCTTGGTCCAGCACCTAGAAATTAAGCAAGTAGTAGGTTCGATTCCCAACTCGGCCATGAAACCTAGGGTTGGAGCCATGGCAGTTAAAGTGGTGTCATGGCAGGGCTAAAATGTGTATAGGCACTGATGCCTAAGAGTATAACATCCTTGAAACATTTCCTTCCTTGCTTGCTTCCTTCCTTCTGTAAAGAATAATATACCACCACAGCTGGACAACTTACTGGATTCCCATCAGTCCTAACAATCATAGGGTGAGTCTACACTGTAGAAATAATATAGTTTGACTCCATCTTAAGTGCTGTAGCTTGATCCTATGGAATGCTGGGATCTATAGTTTTACAAGGTCTTTCGCCTTCTCTGCCAAAGAGTGCTGGGGCCTCACCAGACTACAAATCCCAGGATCCTGTCAGATGGAGCCATGACAGTAAAATGTTGTCAAAGTGGTGCCCTAGTTGCACAGCCAAATGGATCTTGCTTTAAATCTTGTCATGTCTTTTTACATGGGAAAACCAAAATAGCCAGGATTCTACAAATCTATGCCATGTGGAATTATGCATCCCTTGTGCTTCACAGTACTTTCTGGCCATGGGGTGATAGTCAACAGAATCACAGAGTTGGAAGAGACCACAAGGGCGATCCAGTCCAACTCCCTGACATGCAGGAAAACATAATCAATAGAAACAGACCCATATGGTGTGCATCCTTATGCATGAAATAGCACAGTGAACCGCCTCTAAAGTCATGGGAAGAACATATGGTACACAGCAATGTGGGGCATTCATATCCCTGATGCCAGTGATCCTGGGCACTAGTTGCCATGGTTCAGAGGACTGGGGAAAGATGGGGGCAGAAGAGGATGAGTGAGGTGCACAAAGGGAAGAAGAAGCGGCAAAAAGCTCCCAAGAAGATGGATGGAAGCCAGAATGTATGATCCATTCCCCGACAGCGTTCCAGGCTGATGAAATATTTAGGATGCTTGTGTAGGGGCCTATAATTGTCATCCTAGCGTAAATAATTAAAGGGCAGCAGCTGGTGTGTGTGTGTGTGTGTGTGTG